GTAACAGTTATAGGGAATAAAGTGACGTGCGTGTGTGTTGGTGAGTGAATGCTGTCTCATAAGATTTTTTTTTAAATATTGGGATCGATGTGCTTTTTGCATTTGCGAGGGGTGTCCCGTTTTGTGCGCGGTGTCCTTCTGCATGGGATTCTCTCTCTATATATATATTTCTTTTCATCTTTAAGTGTTACAAGTGCTTTATGTATTTTATAAATTGAATAAGATTATTTTATATCAAAATTTGTATGGATTTAAAAATTATTATTTCCCTTTTGATTATGTTATAAACTGTTCCTAGATCCTGTCTAGACCCCCCCTTTTACGAAATTACTAGATCTGCTCTAAATTTAGCATGAAAATAGTAATAACACACGATCGAATCCCTTAGAAATAATAACATACTAGTCGCACGGAAGAAACAAATTAAATACTTTCTCAAGTTTTTATTTCTCAAAACGATTGAGTTTATTTAAATAACGGATAACGCAGGCGACGTCATTACGTTTTCAGTGAGTAACGTCAAAGTTATTTTTGGAGTGCCTCACTAAAATGCTCATAATATACCGAAAAAGTGAGATATTTTCAAAATTTATGTATATTTGCATTCAGAAAGAGTGTGACTATCAAAATTTACCAAAAAGTCAATTTGTGAAAATTTGACCTTAAGGGCCCTTTTCTCGTGACGGCAGTCAATTATAATTGTTTAAATCTTAAAAAATAATATCTGTGCACAGTGGATTTGAGAGTAAGTACGCAACACAGGTGTGTAATCAGCCGAGCGGATCTTCCGGAATTGACGAGGTGAAGGTCGGTCGATCTATTTCTCACCCGTATGAAGCTTAATGACTTAACATTTTACATCCATTTCCTTTATAGGGTTAAAAAATTGTTAATAATAAAATCACTGGGACTTTGAAATAGTGAAGATTCGTGTAAATTTAATTTACTGATTTAGGTTCTGATTCGCGGAAAAAACATGACGCGGAAAAAACCCTGATATACGGTATATTCAATGTTCAAACATGTATTTTGGCCCATTGGCCTCTTTTGAAACAACACCATTTATAAATATTTATTTTGACTTGAGAATTATGACAGATTACCCCGGGAGTTATAGGTAGGGTAGGGAAGATCACATAGATCTGACAGGTATCCACGAAACCGAAGCTAACATAGGTTTCTAAGTCATTGATTGGGCCTTCCAGCTGAGGAAATGTGCCCAATCCGTGGACAAGCACTGATCACTTCTATGATAAATGAGAGGATTTATGAAATCAATGACAAATATTGGGAAAAAAAACAGACTCCAACTAAACTAACTATCCAAGTGGAAGAAATTATCCTAAATAAATCAAAAAAGACTCCTGAAGTCGGAAATATGTGTATTCTATTATTGTCACTTGTGGAATTGATTAAATTTTAATACGCTCATAGAATACAATGTGCTGAATTCCGAGTGCCATCCGTATTCCACATATCAGATTTACCACAGGAGTATATTGGAGTACTTTTGAAAGGACCTGTATTAGAATTTGATAAATTGTCTTAAATATCAGCAGATTATGGAGTCAGCTGATTAAATGGGTATTGTTAATTTGTGAGCTTATGAAGGGCTTTGACAATCCACACAAGTCACACTGTTATCTTTGTCGTGGAGTTTCAAATTACGACTTACATTTAAATTGATTTAATAAAATTGACCTCTCCTTTGACACCTAGCAATACACATCTTTGGAGGGGGAATAACGTAACAGTGGAATATATTTTCGTAACATTTCAGGATTTAATTTTTTGGTGATCGGGGTGGAATTAGTGACACTTACAGTTGTTAAAATCGTTTTTATTTTTCTTTGGATTTTATTTATTGTGATTAGTCTGAATTTAGGAGATGATGGATACGTTTCATTTCACAATTATCTGCCATTGTAAAGGAACAATGGTTACCATCAAAGATTATCGGAAAGACAAACAGGGCAGGAATGGTCATGATTGACAGTGTGTAATTTAATGGCAATTATAAGGCAATTTGAAAAATTTCAGTCGTGAACGTAATATATGTTAATGGATAATGTAACTTTAAAGACGTGAGTAAAAATATGGCCAAGGAACTTTTAGGTGCAACAAGGAAAAAAAAAGTTCTGATAACTTATAAAAATACAATGGGTCTCTTTTGTTGTAAAAATCAAACAATTCTTTTCTAAATTGTATCAAATTTACATTGCGATTGAAAGTTTGGTGATTTAAATTTGTATATTGACTAATCATTAACTGCTGGGCCTTGCATCTCCTAAGTCAAGCGTCTGAGCTTTGTCTAAATTATAAATATTAAGTCAGGTGGGATTTATACTCAAATCAAATATAAGTAGTCAAGTAAGCACTTTAAAGGAAAATAAATAATTGTGAAAATAATATTGTGAATAGACGTTTAGTGTCAGATCTGGTCTTTGATCATGTTAAACTGTTTCCAGCAAAATGCTTTCCTTTCATCTAAAGCTGAATTTATATGGATTTTAGCCATTACACACTTTGTTTTATGTTTTTTGATATAATCTTGGTATGATAAATTTAGAAGAATTTTTAAAAAATGTAAAATTAAAATCGGAATTTGCATAAAATAAATGTATGAATCAAATTTAACTATAAGGATGTTAATTTAGTGATATAGTGTTGAGAACATTTACAACATGGAACATAGGACATGGAATGGATAAATGCTGGATAAATGATGAAGATTTTAGATGAATGACAACTAAAATGGGATAATCTTGTGAGATGATTCCTGCTAGTGCTTGAACACTGACTATGAAATGATTTTGGGAATAAAAGTGTCATATGCTTTCCTGATCTGTTTTTATGCCATTTCATGTGCTTTAAAAAGGGAATATTAAATATCCTAAAGATATTTCAAAATGGCTGGTGTGGAATGTCTTTTTCCACCCATAAACCTGAAAAAGAGCAGCATGCGTTCCAAAAGAAAGAAAAAAGATGGAAAATCAAACTTGATGAATATGTTCATGAGACCCAAGTTAAGTGATGTGCCTCAGAAGATTATCAAGTGTGCACTGCCAACTGTGTCCGTACCTAAACGTCTGTCCACACGTCCCCACCACACTCGCTTACGACGACTGGGGGTGGGGGCACCTGTCCGGCCGAAGTATCACCGGCTAGGTTCTGGTCTTCTTGGTCCTGTTTGCTTGGACAGCCAAATCTTAACTAACATGCTGGTACGGTCTTTATATTTATGGTCACACCTAATGTTAGATCTTTGTTAACCATGTATTTTTTAGGGGCCATTTATGTACGTTTTCACAATCCATGTACATGGTATTGCCAAAGGTTTCAGTAGAAATCCATACAGCTTTCCCATCCTGATTTCCAAGCCATTCCCTGAAATTTATGAAGTACAGTCAAACCTTTTTATCTTGAACTCATTGTGACTGAGAAAAAAATTAAGATATCTGAGAATTCAAAATATCCAGGTTAAAATACATAGAGAATAAGTGGTTAAGACTTCAAAATCACTTCAAAATATCTATGGTATTCCAAGGGAGTGAGGACCGGGGTAGTTATCTTGAGTTTTGCTAATTTTACGTTTTAATTATTGCAACAGTTTTTGGAGGACATATTAAAAACTTTTGAAATATTCATACACTTTATTATTAAATTTATCAGGTGAGCTACTAAGCCTTTTCCTGGGCTTTCTTACCTTGGTAATCAATGATTATCAAGATTGCACAAAAATTTCAAACATTAAAAAAAACAAGTATCTAATGGTTAATCGATGCAGTAGATTGCCTTCTATAACCATTAAAATATCAATTCATTGTCATTCAGATGTGCACTTAAACTTAAGATTTCCCTTGTCATGATTTTTTATGTCCTCATGCATCCAATAATCAATACAGATAGTGCAATAAAAATGAAATGCAGGAACAATATTGCGATACCGGTATTTTATGTACAGAGAAAAAAAGACAATTCCTGAATCATTGACTTGTATTGTATGCATGGCATCCTAAATGATTCAGTCATGCACAGAATAAAGTGATTACAACATAATTACTTCACATTCATAAAACTTTCGTTTGACAGAAAATTGCCGAATATCAGAATGAAAACTGGGTACTGTTATCATGGATTAGGGAATACAGTTGAAAAATAAAGACGCCAGTTACTGTTTAAAATATACATCAAATGATTTATGCACTAGATAACTCAAAGTAAATTTTTTGAAGAAAAATTTTGACCCAGTATTGACACTCAATTTTTCTTTATAATTTTTAAAATTCTAAATTGAATTACCTTAAAGTAAGGAAGTCCAGAAGGGTTTTATATTTTAATTGCTAAGGTGCCACATGGTTGAATTTTTCTTTTGTGAATTTTTTTTTAATCTTATATGTGAAATGGCTTGAGAATGGAGATATTTGATATCAGTGGCTTAAGATCAGATTAAATGTGGCCATTAATTGAGAATGGGGTAATGTAACAATTCATGCAGATCCCGCTGGCAAACCTTTGATGCCAAAGAAATAAAAGGGAAAGTAAATATGTCTAATTAAATCTTTACTTACCATTACACCTGTTCAGTCAAAAGTTGAAATAATTTAACTTCTGGAGGAAGACAGTTACACATAAATGAGCTTAGATATGGCACAAGAAGTTTTTGGTGGAATATCAATTTTTGATAATTTTCAACTCAAGTGTTAATTTAATGAGAGAAAGTCTTCAAAATGGTGAAAATTCTGAGGAGACAGTATCCCCATCCTAGGAGTTATCCATTTAATGTTATTTCAATGAGAAGCCATCAATGGAGACTAGATTTTTTACAGCCCATAGGATTTAGTAAAAAGCTGAGATATATCTTAGCTATACGTCACCCTACCAACCTAAGGGTACATGTACATTAAAAGATGCACCTAATCTTGGAGATGCTGTAGTGATCAAATCAAAAGAATTAAGGTTTTTGTGAATGTCTTATTTCTATTTTTGTATTTTTTCAGTCACTGTTAGATACCCAAAGAGCCAAGGGAGCTGTGATTGAGGCTGACCTTCCCGAGGATAAGTCATCTGTAAGGTCAGGGTCACTGAAGCCAAAACAGCCCTACAAGAAGCATGGCAAAGAAAGAGGTAACTATCACTGATTATCCCAACACTTCACTAAGTCAGTAAATCATAGTTGGAGCAACAAAAAAAGGGTTATGTACTAATATTTTTCAAGTGTAACATAACGAAATAAATTGCCAATATATTAAAACCAGTATGATCATGATGACCCTTCTTTGAGAATTCTTTAACTTTGTTCAATGTATGATGAGCAAGAATACAAATTGTACAGTAGATCTGATAAATTTTTGTATAGTTTTCTTTGCATAGTAAGCAAATTTTATATCATTGATGATTGTTCTGTTTTTTAGTTCGATCAACCTCCTCCTCCCCTGCCTTTGAGGATAAGGAGTACATTGGAGGGGTCCCTGTGGTCTCCTTCAGGGATGGATCAGGCTCCCCGAGCTCTGTCCCCCAGCTCCCCCACATACCAGGAGCAGTTCCCCTGACCCCCATAGGAGAGACCAGCAGGGAACAGACCACAGTAGTACCACTGCCACCAATAGGAAAAGGTGACATATCCCACCACTTTTATATTCTTTTTATCCTTTTATTCTCTCGGCATGCATGTATTCCATGATGTTCCAATATATATATCCCAGAATATTCTTTATGCTTAAAGCACAGAGGAATGTATATATAGTCGCTTTCTGTTGTATAAAGTGTACTTTTTATTCATACATTTCATAATTATTTTTACAGTTAATTTTTATTAGGTCTCTATATAATATTCAGAGATTTTGATTGCAAGAAGACATGCATGCCTTAATTGACTTCTGACCTTGGTGAAGGGAGATAACTCGGTGGAGGTTAAGATGCCTGTTTGAATATAATTACATTGATTTTCTTTTATTGCTCTTCTCTTGTCTACATAATGGTCCCTAAACAAACTGAATTGTCCACAAATTCCAAAAATTCTAACTAGGGTTTATGATAACTCATGAGAATTTAGAATCATTTGACAGACAATAATAATTTTAAGAGAATTTCTAGACATTGTTTACCTAGAAATAGTTAATTGTTTTGGATCTTTCTGACAATTATTTTTTCTTGTGTTGAAATTTCATTTGCTTTTAAAAGTGCAGGCTATAAAAGCTAGACAGAGGAACTTTAAATATTGATAAAAAGATTTTAATTAGATTTGTTCGTCTTAAAGGGAAGGCCGTCTACAAAGCCATTTCAAAAGTTAACCTTATTTAGTTAAAGATTACTGTAACCATATATATTGAATGATAACCAAAAGTTAAATGACTATTTTTATTAAGTTTTAACTTTATAATGAAGAAATGATGTCCAATTTTAAAAGGAAAAAAAATTAATTTGCGTAAAATAATGGATTTTTAACAAATATTCCTAAGCAGCCGGAAGAAAACAAAAATCGCAGTCTGCAGAAAAGTTAGGTTTATTTAATTTATAAAAGCTAATTAAAATTAATATATCTTTGAGAAATGAAAATAGCCATACTATTTACCGGTACATAATCATTGACACAGATTACTTTAAAACATGCTTCTAATGAAATGCCAGGGATAAATTTAAATTTTAATCAGTACTGTAACATTTTAAAAACCCAAGTAATTAAAATCATTTAGCTGTAATAATGAATTAAGCATGTTTGCTGTAACCCTGTTTTTACAGTAATGTTTTTGTAAATGATTCAAGTTCCATATGGATGTCAAATAAAGACCTGTAATCCATCCACCATCACAAGAAAAAAATTATGAGAAAAAGAAGGAAAAAATTGTTATTATTTATTTTCTAGATAAATCAAAGAGCAAGATACACATTCCATTAGGGAGTATGTCTATCCTGCATTATAAATTCCTGACCTGAATTGTCTAATCTAACACGTCTTTGAAATGTAATACTGTACCTTTGTTTACGACCTATCCGTAATAAATAAACACAAGACAAATATTGTCTGATCCCTCTGTTTGTTATTCTGTTTGTTTATTATCCCCAAATCCTAATTAAATCTGGGTGTGTTTTTTAATTAAATCTATGTGTTCTGATTTGAAGAATTTGATCACAGGTCTAGAATCTGAAATGTCAACAGGTCTGGTCATTATGAATGGAACCTAACAATCTGCTCAAGGTGATACAAGTTTAGTTTGGGTCTTTAAATGGATAAACATAGATATATTCAGTTTTTGGACTTACTGTAGAATTAATTGTGTAATTAAATTGTAAATTAAAATGAAATTGTGTCTTAAGTAAGGAAATATTAAGAGGTTTTATAAAATTACAGTTAACACAAGTATTTGAAGTTACCTGGCACTTTGTTCTTTGGCATATCAGAAAGTTTATCAAAAGAGAAATTATTGAAAATGTATCAGTTTGGAATTGCTTACCAGTAACCATAATACAGTAAGGAAAAAATGTAAATAAAATTTCTTTGTTGTTCGTTTTTTGAATAGTTCAGTCTGATAATTAATTTATGAATAGCTTGAACTTGTATCACCAGAGCTGCCATTTGTGTGCCACAGAGTTATGGCAGTTTGTACTAATATGGCTGACAATAGATTCTGTGTATACCAGGCATACCATCCCTGAACATTCAACCTCCAACCCCACAAAATACAACTCTAGACACTTATGATGCCACAAGGAAATCAAAAGAGAATCTCAAGTCGGTTAGCGAAGGTAAAGCTGGGTCATATTATAGCTTGTGTGCTGAGAACCAGTTGGTAATTATATCTTGTGTGCTGGGGACCAGTAAAGCATCCATATGTATATCCACCATTTTGTATACTGGTACTTTTATTCTGCTATTTTGATATATTAAAACTAAAACAAAAAAAAATCTAAATGTAATTAGCTTTTTTATGTATTTTGCACTTGGTATGATATTGGCATTAAGCTAAATTTTCAACAATTATTTCTGAATTTTAAAACAATATCTCTAATGGTTATTAAAGTGTAGTTATTTGAGAAGTGGTGGATTTTATGATATATTTTCTTTATAAATATATTTGACTGGGTTTGAAAAGGTGCACATTTGTATCAGCTAGCACTCTTTGCTTGTTTTCACAATTATAAATATACTCAGTATTTATTTATTACAATATTTTAGCTTTTATCAATTATTTTTGCTTTCTTTCCTTATTTATTTGAAGCATATTCTATTTAGCTCACTTGAGTAAAATAAAATAATTAATTTAACTTTTAGGTATTAAACTAAAATCTTCACCTCATGAAAATTTGCATTTCAACAGTACATTTTAAACTGTAATTTTCAGTGCAAGTGTAAAGTTTTCTTTTATCTTGAATATACCATCTTTTTATTTTAATACATGTACATGTATTAGCAATATGAATTTCAAAAATAGATTAATAGTATAAAATAGTTAAATGTAGGAAATAAATAAAATGGCATAACAGAAAATATTCCGTTGAGTTGGGATCTGACAGATTTTGACTGTTTTAGTTGACACAGAGGAGGAATGGGGGACTCACGTTTCCCAGGCAGCAGATCATACATCTGTTAGGGGGGATGTGGATACTGAGTCTAAGAAAGACAAGGGTAAGAAGGCTGTCTGTGTAGATATCATTGTCTTCATTGCCTTCACCAGTCTGTGTCTGTAGACATCATTGTCTGTGTTTTGTTGTCATTGCCTTTACCAGCCTGTGTCTGTAGACATCATTGTCTGTGTTTTGTTGTCATTGCCTTTACCAGCCAGTGTCTGTAGACATCATTGTCTGTGTTTTGTCTAAACTTTCATTGCCTTCACTAGCTTGTGTCTGTAGACATCATTGTCTGTGTTTTGTTGTCATTGCCTTTACCAGCCTGTGTCTGTAGACATCATTGTCTGTGTTTTGTTGTCATTGCCTTTACCAGCCTGTGTCTGTAGACATCATTGTCTGTGTTTTGTTGTCATTGCCTTTACCAGCCAGTGTCTGTAGACATCATTATCTGTGTTTTGTCTAAACTGTCATTGCCTTCACTAGCTTGTGTCTAAAGACATCATTGTCTGTGTTTTGTCTTCAATGCCTTCATAAGCTTGTGTCTGTAGACATCATTGTCTGTGCTTTGTCTTCATTGCCTTCACCAGCTTGTGTCTGTAGACATCATTGTCTGTGTTTTGTCTTCAATGCCTTCACCAGCTTGTGTCTTTAGACATCATTGTCTGTGTTTTGTCTTCAATGCCTTCACCAGCTTGTGTCTGTAGACATCATTGTCTGTGTTTTGTCTTCATTGTCTTCACCAGCTTGTGTCTAGCAACAACATTGTCTGTGCTTTGTTGTCATTGTCTTCATCAGCTTGTGTCTGTAGATATTACTGTCTTTGCTTTGTCTTCATTGCCTTCACCAGCTTGTGTCTAAAGACATCATTGTCTGTGCTTTGTTGTCATTGTCTTCATCAGCTTGTGTCTGTAGACATTATTGTCTGTTTTGTTTTCATTGTCTTCATCAGCTTGTGTCTTTAGACATCATTGTCTGTGCGTCTTCATTACCTTCACCAGCTTGTGTCTGTAGACATCATTGTCTGTGTTTTGTCTTCAATGCCTTCACCAGTTTGTGTCTTTAGACATCATTGTCTGTTGTTTTGTCTTCAATGCCTTCACCAGCTTGTGTCTGTAGACATCATTGTCTTCAATGCCTTCATTGTGTTTTGTCTTCAATGCCTTCACTAGCTTGTGTCTGTAGACATCATTATCTGTGTTTTGTCTTCAATGCCTTCACCAACTTGTGTCTGTAGACATCATTGTGTTTTGTCTTCATTGCCTTCACCAGCTTGTGTCTGTAGACATCATTGTCTGTGTTTTGTCTTCAATGCCTTCACCAGCTTGTGTCTGTAGACATCATTGTCTATGTTTTGTCTTCAATGCCTTCACCAGCTTGTGTCTGTAGACATCATTGTGTTTTGTCTTCAATGCCTTCACTAGCTTGTGTCTGTAGACATCATTATCTGTGTTTTGTCTTCAATGCCTTCACCAGCTTGTGTCTGTAGACATCATTGTCTATGTTTTGTCTTCAATGCCTTCACCAGCTTGTGTCTGTAGACATCATTGTCTATGTTTTGTCTTCAATGCCTTCACCAGCCAGTGTCTGTAGACATCATTGTTTGTGTTTTGTCTTCAATGCCTTCACTAGCTTGTGTCTGTAGACATCATTATCTGTGTTTTGTCTTCAATGCCTTCACCAGCTTGTGTCTGTAGACATCATTGTTTGTGTTTTGTCTTCAATGCCTTCACCAGCCAGTGTCTGTAGACATCATTGTCTGTGTTTTGTCTTCATTGCCTTCACCAACTTGTGTATGAACATATCATAGTCTGTGCTTTGTCTTCATTGTCTTCACAAGCTTATTCATACATCATATGTCTTATACCTTTTTTGTGTGCCTGTGTGTGATGCATTATTTTTACTTTTCGTGTTCAAGGTGTTATGGTGTTCATTCATATATTCATTTGTATGTTTGTGGTATTGTGTTATTGTGTGTTATCTGTATATGTCTTTGGTATAGTAGCATTCATTTTTTTTATGTTCATATGTAATGACTATTCCTAATAAGCACAGCTCTGAAAGTGGTAATAGTCACCATGACATAGCTATATCAGTGTCCTTAATTATGCAAATTTTATATAATCTCCTGCTGCTTATCATCCATATACGCACCAGAAATAGACACATTTTCTATTAATAATAATTATTAACAGCATATGCATGTTTTTGTCTTAATTGTGTTCATCAATCCATCTGACATTAATTTGAAATCTCAAACAATTTTTTCCAGGAATTCTTTTTTGTGATATTAGAAATATAACCATTTCATTTTGCAGGTGAAGTATCTTCACATGCCAAGGGTTCAAACGAGAGTGTTGGCACTGGTGTCCAGTCACTGAAGGAAAGTAAACTCAACCGAACACACTGGAAAGGAAGTCAGACTAGTGTCAAAAGCTCCAAGAAAGGATGTAAGTTATTGGTCAATTATAGGAAAACTTTATTAGGCCAAGCTTAAAAAATTCTTTGTTTGCAGTTGCCGACCTATAATTTTTAGAGTGGGTCGGTAGGTAGGTATGATTTTTTTTTTTTACAGATTTTAGTTATAAAGTTTTTGTTGGATTACAAACCATAGATTTTCAAAGGGTTATTTATGTAAATAAAAGTCAACTTATTTTATGCCACTTATCGACAGAAACTAAAATTTAGCAAATTAAAAATTCAACAAGTTTCAACATCCTTAAAATTTGAAACTTCCAAAAAAAATTCTCAAATAATGGCTGAAAAAAAGTTTGGGTCGGGTGCATTTTTAGTGGGACGGTCGGCAACTGCAAACAAACCATTTTTTATTTTAGGCCTTACTGTAGATTCCTAAATTTATAAGAGGAATTTATTCTCATTGTTATTTCGGAAAAAGCATTGCTAAAATTGCTCAAATTTATTTTTGTACATGAAACTCTAAATCATTGTCCAGCCACCTATTCATTATACTTTTGTATTTTGTTATAGATCTATGATTTGTTTCTTGAAATGATGTTTGAAAAAAGGAATCTACAGTATTTATTTCAGATTGTGCAATTTATTTCATGATTGTGTTTACATGTATGTTAATTTTTATAATGAGTAATCAAAATGGTATTTCAGCACAAACACAGGATAAACTACAAAGCGATGAATTGTCAAGTACAAACACTAGTTCTCTGGAAATAGCTTGTAAAACAATAGAAAGGTTAAGCAGGCTTCATAATTACAATCAAACACCCTCGAGTTCTCAGTCGCATGAGAGTTCTACTCAAACACTGCCTTCACGAAGAAGTAGCATTCAGAGCAGCTTCTGGGAAACGGAATGTAAAAGTTTGATTAGAGATCAAGTGTAGATTTGATTAGAGAGTAGAACACAAAAAATTGATTATTTTCTTTAATTTGTTTATTTACACACTTCGAATTAAGTTTTAGTTTTTTTTTCCTTCTTTCTTTATTGTTTTTGTGTTGTGGTATTAGATTTATTGATTAAGACAGTTTTATTGAAATGATAGCAGCACATAGTGGGGATAATGAAAGTAGGAGTTCTGTACATCAAGGTATTGTTACTGAAAGGATACTGGGAAAAAGTAATAAGCATTAATTTTACAGACTCTCAATTGGGATAAAGGGTCATAAAAAATAATACAGTTTATAAACTACACATACCTAGAATTAATGGTGGCAGGAAAAATATACATCATTTAAATCAAAATTTAATTTGTTAATAAACTGCAGAAATTTTTTGATCAAGTAGTTTGTATGTGATTTGCAGTGATGATTTGTGTTAGTGGTGTAAAATCAACTAACTTTGTAATATAATATTTACTGAAGATGTTAATTTATCTAAAGGAGAGGTTATACTTGTGTAATCCTGATGTAAAAAGTGAAAATAAGGAATTGTAAAAGTTTCTTTCAGAAGCTTTTTTTCCAGATTTTAAAAGTAGTTTCCAGCTATTATCAGATTAAACATACTAATATGTGACTGAAAATTTAATTTAATTAGTATTTTGAATTTTTATGTCAAAATTTTGCTTTGCATTGTTCTGTTGTTTTTGTTATAAAGCTCTATCACCTGTTTGTTTGTGATATAGCTGGCAGTATAGATGATGGTTCTGTGAAGGGAAGTGTTATCATGGGACCAGAAGGGGAGATAATTAATGTTGGAGGAACAATCAAACCACACCTTAGGGATATTGACATGGTTCATGATGCCAACAAAGTCTTTGGAAAAGGTAATCTCAGTGAAATGTATTTTTAAATTTGGATATCTCATGAACTTTTCATTTTTCCTCCTTATCAAGTGTTCACAACAAATGCTTTTGTATTGTATTAAAAGTGACTCAAGTTTCCATAAGTCATTTTAAATTGAAGGTGGATAATGGTGTATGTATATAAGGCTTCAATTTTATATTCAGTAAATTTACATTTTTTTTTTTTAATTTATTGCAAAAATTAGTCTTCAAATGTAATGAATTAAGCTTATAACTAGACAACTGTTCATCCCTGGCACTTTGTTATAAACATTTGACTGTAATTCTGATCCTGATTATTTCAGATCTGATGAGTGACGAGTCGGATGTAGATGACCAGCCAGATGAATGGAAAAAACACAGAACACTTCCACCTGGTGCACGCGATCAGATGAAAAATTTTGCTAACAAACGAGGTACTTTGTTTTACATGCAGTAAATTTTAATATTGACCCAAAATTCAATGTTGAATTTTTATTTTTTTTAGAAATCACCTCGAAGAATTAAGCAAATGTGCTTGATGCCACTCAAGTTAAATCAATAAATATATCTAGAATATTTCAAGTATCTAAGCAATTACTTTACTAAGTTTTTGTATTTTTATTCCGATTGTGATTGATTTATCCTCGTAAATAGCGACACCTTCAAACCTCTCCGTGACGGAGTCCGTTCCTCGTCAGGCTCATCACGTTGATTTCAGCAGTGAGTGGTAGTGTAGTCTCATAGCATGGCCAGTGCTTGGCAGTTTTTATGTAGCGTCTCTACAAATATATATAAATCTTCTCTTTGTGTATAATCTTCTTTGCTGCATGAAAGATTTGAATGCTGCATGAATGTTTCTTATTTTTCTGCTCTGAGATTTGATGATTGATTTTTGCTTCATTTCCTAGAATTGATTTGAGATAGAAAAGCTTTAATCTGTGGTTGATTAAATTATAATGAAAATAGATTCTAGTTTGGAGACTTGAGTTATTGAAATAATGCAGGTTTACAGAGTAAAAGCATGCTATAAGCATGCTATGCTATGGGAAAAAAAATTGAAAAGATATTCCAAACTTTCAGTGCTAGTACATGTATATTCTGAGTTTAATCCTTTCCTACCTTAAGGCAATGTACTTTTTACTGGATAGGGACAAATCTCCTTTGTATAAAGATTCAAAAAAAGATAAGAATATGTTCAAGAAGGGGTAGGCAAATTTGGGGTTCTATGAGGGTAGCTGGAATCACATAAAGTGGGGGAGGGGAGGCACTAGACTTGAAATGCCAAGCTGTTTAAAGAGTTATTTGCAGACCATATTTTTAGTGGATATTTGCCGCATGACGAAGTAAAAAAGTTTGTTTTAATATTATTTGTAATGAAGGTTAGACATCATATATAATTTTAGCTTTGTAGCATATTTAAATATTTTTTCTCTAAACTTGTTTTCTTTCTGTACATGTATACTGATTGCTTTGTATAGACTATATCTACATTCTTTTTTTCATATTCTATTTCAGTAGAGTTTTTTCTTCCATGTACAGTGTATATTCAATTGTGTTTCTTGATTTCATACAAAATGAGGATATGATTTTAAAATATCTGTAATATGTATCTCAACTAGAAATTTTAAACTTTTGTTGCTTTATCATGATAATTGTTTATTAAATTAAGTTGCTCTTTTTTTTTAAGTGTGTGTACCTATAATTATTTATTTGGATTGATTCCTTTGTTTGTTTGCCTGATTGTTGATATTTTTGTGACTCTGTAGAGATAGACTACACCAGCGGGGACATAGACGCTACCCTCTCCATCAGTTCCTGGAGTTATGCCCCCCGAGACCAGGACCCCGAATTAAATGACCTCCGAAAAACCAGTAGCTTACAGAGTCTTCCCAACCTAGAAGGTAGAGGGTATAACCCTGGGGTGGCTAGCCACTCTGTGGAATGGCTAACCCTAGGGTGGCCTGCCAAACAATAGAATGGCACCGATTTCTCTTCAGTTCTAGCACATCTTTACTCAGAAAGTCTTGCCTGGTATTCTACAGTAACTAAATTCTCTTCAGTAACCAAATTCTTTGGACTTTTCTTAATCACTCTTTGCTCATTCTTTGAGATATCTATTTTGCACATTCTCTTTGTGTATTTTGAAAATTTCTTTACTTTTCCTTAATTTCTTTTACACTTTTCTCAATCACTCTTTACTCAGCTTATGAGTAAAATCTAGTTTGCACCTTCTAACCATTTCTGTATTTCTTTCTCTTATACATTTATTTATAATATTGAACTGACAATCAGTTGGTGAGTTGTCATTTTAAAGATTGTTGGAATGCTGTACTATTATAAACTTATGAATCTTGTGTATTGGTTCATTGCTTAAACTTGCTATCAATTCTATAATCTATCATATAGCTATGAATTAGACTCTATATTGCATTAATTCTAGGTAATGGCTCAATGTATCCTTCTCATAGAAACATATCCAAAATACTTGTATACTCCTTAAATGACAGAATCCTCACTTCATATACTTTATTTCAGTTCAATTCTTAAAAGATTTAACCATTCTAAGTCGAGCAACTGAGAAAACAGAACCAATAGACCGACAAAATACTCAAGATGTGGACACCACTGAAGATTCCAACAATGTTAACGCCAGTTCTGGCGGCCCCATGACGGACGGCATCAGCTCCCTCCAGACCCCCTTCACACAGTCTGTGACCCCCGGAGGCAGGATCACCAGCATCCTAGACACGCCCATGGGTCCTCAAGAGGACACGGTTATTGAGGAGTCAGAACGAGAATCTCCTGAGCAGATATCCGAGAAAGATGAGGAGGAGAATGGAATGGAAGGGACCCTCAAGTCGAGGACAAGTGAGGAGTCAAGGAAGTCCCCCAGCAGGAAGGGCTCTGTTATGTCCAAGTCCTCCACTGTTGACCCAGAGATGAATAAGTCTGTGAGTGGGAGTCTGCCAAAGTCCCGGGCTCCCAGTGTGGATCTGTACACCAGAACGATCATTAATAGCAGAAATCGCAGGAGGTACAGTTTGGATCTTGGAGGTAAAAGTCGGGGTATGTTGATTGAGGCTGATAAGAGTCTTAATAGAGCAGCCAGTGTGGATCTGTCCAAGGATTTACAGTTGTCTTTGGAGGATTTAAAGAATAAGGTGGCTCTGAAGAGTAAGGAGGATGAGCAGAGTGAGGAAGGGGGTAAATCTAGGGCTCCCAGTGTCAGCGAGGAGAGAAGGGGGTCTGTGAAGTCACGTCTCACCTCCAGGGAGTCCATCCTCAGAAGTATGTCCAAACAGTCACTCAATCAGGAGGAAATCTTGTTTGAGGGTCCATCGGAAAGTGAAATTTTGGAGGTGGCTTCCGAGAAGAAGTCGACCATAACAGGTGATGAAGAGTCTGTGTTAGCGGTGGAGGGCCAGGGAATTCCTCCCGGTCCTTCATCTCCCTCTGTTGAACAACCCATTTCCAAACCCGAATCTCCCAAACAATCAGAAGACACTGCAACCCTCCGTTCAGGTATAACAGGCCTGGCAGGCATTCCTTAACATTTTATTACAACTTAATCCACAACTGAGATCACCAGTTAGAGTTGTAGAGACTCAAATTTTTTTTTTAACAGTCAGTTTTTTGATCCCCCTCACAAAAGTTTTGGATCCTCACAAGAAGTTCACCTACGTTATGATTTTCTGATTTTAGACTCCTCCCAACAACTTCCCTTTCACTTCAATATTAACCAATTTTCAATGTTTACTCATTTCTCACTTTTTCACTTACCGGTAATCTATTAATATAATTAATGTTTTTTTTTAATTTTCAGGTTAGAATGATTTAGATTTAAATGTAGTTAAGATATCGAATATTATGATTTCTTAGATATTTAAGAACACAAGATGTAAATCTTAGAATGATGTCACATTATAATTATTTTTTATTGACTAGGTGAAAATCACTGCATGTGTTTGCTGTTTTAGATGGTGTTGTTCACATTCACATTGAAACTAATTGTTTATTTTGTTCTATTTCATTTAAATTTTTTTCTTGTTTAATCATATAATAATGTGTTAAAATATTTAGAATAATCAAAACAGGTTGATATATATTTTATTTTAAATGATATACCGTATAATACCTATTAACCGCCCCTGTCCCTATAAGCGCCCCCTTAGGTCTTTTTTAATTGTCAGGAAATAAGGCCCCCCTGTACAGTAATTCAAACCATCTAGAATCGTATCAAAAATTTGAAGAAAGTGAAAATGAAACTTGTCTATTAACCAATTTTTCTGTGGAAAATGAATAATGTAGCATAATTTGGGTGGATTATCTTCACTGAAAATAAAGTCAGACATTATTTTAGTGGTTCCTTGTATTTATGTTTTTTTCAAAAGATTTTTTGAAGTTAAAATATGACTTTAAATATCATAAAGAGAATACCAAAATAACCCCCCTTTTTGCAATTTTCTAAGCGCCCGGGGCGGTTAATAGGGATTATACGGTATTTGAAACTGTGTATTATACCATAATTTTCTGAATATCAATAATATTTCATGGTATGATGATCATGCATATTTTCAATAATGACTGTAAAATTTTATTTTCTTAAAAGTTTTAACTCATGTAATCATGAAATTTTGACAGATTCTGCAAGATCCAAAGTTTCAGAAAAGGAGATTGTGGATGCCTTGGCAAATCATGCCCAGCAGATTGCTTCGAGCGTGCTCAGTCGCAGTACATCTGGAAAAGACCTTGAGGATGATGTTAGGGTAAGGGGAGAGAAGTCACTGCTAAGATTCTATGGAGGGCAATGATGCACAGTGTTCATGTTGTGAACTTTACTTTGAGCTTCAAAGTTAAAATGTTACTTTTAATCTATAATGTAAAAATATTGAATTTATTATCAATAACCTTTAAAAAATTCATTGAGTTAATTCAGTAAATGTAAATATTGAAAAGATTTGCATTAAAGTCATCAGTATATTGAAGAATAGCTAAGAAACTGTTGGATTATTTATGAGATTGAAATTTTATTTTGCATTTACAAAATGCTTCGAGTTCTGATATATGCTTTTTGTCAGCTCTATTAACTGTTTTGTTCTATATCTCATCTCTGGTTTTAAACTTGCTTCAAATCTGATTCAAATGCCTCTGACACTGCCAAATATTTTCCTCTGAATATGCATGATATGCAAACTAACCTCTGACCTCTTCTAGCGGGCGGCTAAGCTCTGGATGGACACCCACCCCCCACGAGATATTTCTAGAAGTCACTCGGTTCAGGACAAGGTATTTACACACTGGTTCACTGGTAGAATCTATTTATGTTAGGTTTGTCTGGGTTAAAAAATTATTTCTGAAATTTTGTCTTTGTTTACATTATCGTAAGTAACACAGTACTTTCATTGTTTGATACCTTATGGCGGTCTCATCTTTTTCTCATCACCCAGTGATGAGTAAAAGTTGGTATCTAACAATGCAGTACATGTACCTGTAAAAATAAGTGTTTCTCAATAATATGGCAGTTATTACTGGTAAAAATAGTTGGCACATGGTATTTTGGATTGAAGTTGTTTAATTTATTTTCTTTTTCAATTTTTTACCAAGTTACTTAATAAAATTTTCTTATTTTTATGCACATTTCTTTAAAATCTATTCATATTTACAAATCAGAATTATCCACATGGTAATATTTTCTAATTTATATTTTAAATATTCTTTAATGATATATTCTTACATATATATTTGTTTATCTTTATATATTTGTATGTAACAAATAAGATGAATGCTTCAGTTTGTGTGTAAAAGAAAGAACTGTAAAATAAATTAATTACTAAACTAACAGAAAAAAATACATTTAATTTTTACTAATGTGAAATAATGTGTTGATCTCAAACTAAATTCATTACATGCTTATAACCTAAAAAAATATTTGTATGGCCTTGAAATTTGTACTCTAAAAAAATCAGTGCAATTAATAACACCTGAGATATTTGATAATTAAATGATGGGTAATGTGGACACTACAATCCTGAGAAATATAATGCTAAATGCTTATTTGTTTGTAGTCCATTGTACAAGAGATAATGGCAGGACAGGAGAAGAGAAAGAGTGCAGGACCCACAGCAGGAGAATACAAGGAACTGATCAAGGCCAACCTCAAGACAGCCAGTAAGTATCTATCTCAGTGACAAAACAGAACAGATGCTGTGGTAAATTGACTGTGTGTAAGATACTGTAAACTAATTTTTATTCGCTGTGAGAAATTTTCGCGAAGTTCGCGAGAGCCCCGTCATTGGGAATATCTCTCGCCGCGAACCGTCCTTAATGTGTATGTGTCTATAAACAACAGATCCAAAAGGCTTGATCGCAAAATTAATCGTCGCTAACTAGTTTATCACGGTAAATCGCGAAATAAAGTTGTCGCGAATAAAAGTTGGTTTACAGTATCTGAAACACAAAATGTAAGCGAGGAGAGGAAAGATGGCTGAAGAGTATTGGAGTATAAATACAGTCGAGCCAATAATCTGGAGGCTTCACCCTCTGGACAAAATCTGTTAGGAACAAAATTAACATTTATATCTCGTATATTTAATTTTTTTCAGTACTCCAGGCACTTCACAAGCTCTATGATTTGTTTCGAAAACTCAAATGTCTAGATTTATTAGATTTGACAGCTTAATATTGTTACAAACCTTCATTCTCATTGAACAGACCACATGTTCTTTTATACACTGTAATTTTCTCGGTTTGTTCCTGTAGTGTCCAGTGCTAGTGGTGAAAATGTTCCGGCCGATACAGAGGTCAGTCCAGAACTGATAGACACACTGGCCAAGGAGGATGTGGCTGCCGAGGACTTAGAGATCGTACAGGACGACGACGGAAAAAGTCTCATCCGCACCAAAAGTCAGGTCTCCATGGCAATGGGCGGAGTCAAGGAAGGTCATATCTATGTACCAGTGGCTAAAAGTAAGCTAGTGTCTAGGTATCTGCTGCAGATGTCATGGAAAATTTTAATAAAAAAATAAAAGTGGGGCGTTTTTATGATAATTCTATAACAACAAAAAATCAACATCAAATACTTTCAATTTACTAAAGCTTATTATAAACAAGTATAATTTCAATTCTTTAAAAAGTTAAATTTTGTATAAATATCCTCACATTGCTATTCATCAATATACATAGGTATAGATATTGATAACAAACTTTTCCTTTGATGTACAGTACTTTCAAAACCTTGATATTTGTTGCACACTATAGTTATAACTTGGCTAACATTAGGATAACCTTTCTATTAGGAAATAAACTGCTAGTACTTATAATAACTCTGGTATATGGTACAATTTGAACATCTTTTAGTTAACAAGCCATCATTTCAACTGATTCAAAATTCATGAATAAAATTCAATGTTGTAATACTGTCTGCTAGTGAAGCTAGATAATAGTCTTTTGTGTAATTATAGTGTAATATATATATAGCAAGCTTTTAACCTGGTGATGGTATCCGCTTGGGTGTTGCGGTTGCTTGGTAACACTGCTTAACCCTGTTGCTTTGCAGACGGGCAGAAGGCTCCTTCTACTAGCATTCCTGTGGATCGGCAATCTAACGCTGATATAGGGGAACTGGCTGTCATTCACTATTCTGGGGACAAAGACTTGGTAAAGGCCGAATCTGAGAAAAGCCCCTCAGAGAAGGGCAGTAAAACCAAGTCCCAGCCCCCCTCAACTCTCGGGGAATCTATTGTAGAGGAGGAGCCGTTTCCCGATGATACCTCAGAACGAAAGTCCCACGTGTCATTCAAGGATGAAGAAGAAATTGAGGATGAGTTTCAGAAAGCTGTTAAGGAGGCAGAACAGGTTTGTAGTGTTGGGATGAGGTCACATAGACAAAAAACAATCCCTTACAAATATTTACGGGGTGGATAAAATTTTTTTCTCCTAAGATATTGTAAACAATTGTCTTTTGAGTGGATGAATAAAGTTTTTTGATACATTCAGAAGTCTGACAAGCAGAGCATGAAGAGTGGGAAGACCGAGTCAGATGGTAAAAAGAGTAAGGTGTCAACAGAGAAGTCCACATCTCCAGTCAAGAAGAAGGAGGAATTTGTTGTGGGTAAGTTATAATTTTTTTTAAAAAAACGTTATTATGTCATTCAATTTCTCATTCAGTATATTTAACAAGGAAAAGTTAATGATTAGGTCTATAGAAAATGAATTTATTGAAATGTATAATAATAATTGACCTCATGCATCCTCCGGGGCACCCAAGAAGATGATTAATTAAGTATGGTAATGATAAGTCAACATCATAATTCTGTTGATAAAGTTAAAAATTTTAACCCATAAAGTTGTTAAATATATTATTTTTTCATTCTTACTTAGGTAAAATGTTTATTTAATTATATCATATGTACAGTCATAAAATGTTTAGTTTATTTAGTACATTTTTGTATATCTCGATTAAAATTGGGGCCGTTCATCATAAAAAAGGTACCTTTTTTCCCAAAAGAAAGGTGTAAATTTCCCAATTTCCATCCAGAGTTAAATATTAATTAAAAAATAAAAGTCCATCAAACCTAATCGCAAAAAAAAAAAACCCAAACAAAACACATTTGCAAATGAAAGTGAAACTGTACTACTATTTTATTAGTTCGCGCCAAATGCATTCGTAAACTGGTATACAACTATGAGTGCAGAGTATCTTGTTATGTAGTTTTGACAAAAACCAGCATTTTGGTTTCAAAAATAGACATTTCATTTAAACATTAGTAAGCTGCACCTAAAACATACCCGCGCTTCGGCATGTTCAGTCTCGCGCTGTATTGGTAAGCAAAGTTGCCTATGTGATCGAGGAAATTGTGTGACTAGCGACTGTCACGCAGTAAGACATATAACCACAATATCAACACTCAAAGATATATATAATGTACTTTCATAAATAGCCTACATACCCATGTTTGTGCTGTTTAACTGTTTATTCAAACCAGAGTTAGCATTGATGATAAAATGCTAGAAAAGCAAAATTTGAGGATTTTTTTTAAAAATGAATTTGTGTTATCCAACTTTTCCCAAAATGACGATAATTTTCCCAATTTGAACGGCCCCGGCCCCAGTCCCCAAAAGTGGTGTGAGAGCCCTGAGTCTATTAACTTAAAACACAGGTTTTACAGCTTCTTTGCCAATGAATTTTGTATTTAATAACTTGAAATATTCATTATATGAAAAATTGCCATAAATGCTATTTTTATGAATGCATCAAATAGTCTGTGACCTATATTTGCAGTACATGTATTGTGGAAAAGTTGTAATAATTACATGCATGTATAGTATTTCATCACTATTAAACTAGCATCTCATTATTTTTACATGCATTTATTCACAATTTTGATGTAAATACTCCTCAGGCAAGGTAGATACAAAGGATGATATTAAGGCCCTGTACGGTCAGCCTGAAGCCCCGCCCAAGGAGCCATCAATGGGTGAGAGAAGATTGGGACTAACCCTTCACTATGTAACGTCTCGCTGCCACTTAACCCATTAAATTCATCATGTCTAGGTCTAAGCTTAACCCTGCTTCAATGATTATACTGTATTGTAAATTGTCATGAGCATGTAGACTAAAAACAATTGTTTTTATTGCAGGAATTTTAACCACTTTCCCCTGTACAATAGGAGATTTTTAATTTAATTTTCATGTCTAATTGTCTCTTGTTCTAAATCATGCTTGTCTGGTGAAGGATTCATGTCATGCATTTTACATACCATTATTAATTAATTGACTAATTATGATTTTGATGTTTCTTGCTGAATTGTACAACTTTCCAGAATAAGCTTCCATCATTCCTCATTGTTAGAAGCCAAAGGTTGGTCTCACTTCTCTTGCATAAGAGAAGAGACGTAAAAACTGGCTATGGGTTTCTTCTTATGCATTCCTCTATCCCATTCTAAAATAATAACATCTTACAAATGTGATTTACTTATAGAAAGATCAAGTTATGTTGTGTTTTAGTAAATTCATTGATACATTTATAAAAGTACTTACTGTGTAAGTTTGCATGTACTTGCTATAGGGGTTAAGAAAGCCAGTCCTGTCAAAGAGTCGCCTCCCTTACCTTCCCCTCCCAAAAGTGCTGGTGAGAGCGTGTGATGTGCACTGATATCACAAACAGACCAAATCTGTCTGCATTTAATCACATAATTCTAAAAAGAATAACATATATATTTAAGGTGCACACAAGAAATTTTTTTATGGATAATATTCATTAGAGTATATTCACTTCACTGTGTATAAAGACCATAAATATAAAGGGCCACTTTCTTGATCACTTTAATATTGATTCACAATAACATAATGATAATTATTTTTTGCACATGCAGTAAAATTGAACATTTTTTTAAATAATTTCCTAGAATTCATGGTGATAACATCAAAGAAAAGACAAGAACTTGACCCAAATCCAGACAATAAGGGAGATAACTCCTCCATTTTAAAACCCTCATTACCAATGCTAGAAAGTTTAAGTGAGAACAACTTATTTCAATTATCAAAAAGGGTCATAAGGTACCTAGCACTCACAGAGTATGATTTTTCTGGATGGAGTTGATGCATATTGTAAAATATTTGAGGTGAACCCTGTGCATTCCTAAGGGGAATATAGGTGTATACTTTTAAACAGTCTTGCTATATTCATGGGGTGATATTGGAGCAGAGTACTTGTAGAACTAGATAGGGGATAATGCACATCTTAGAGTGGCTGGTTTTGAGGAACACTTGTGCTATTTGTTTGCTTTGCAGTCAAAAAGTCACTGGAACTGGTCAATAACGTTTAAAGATTTAAAGAAAAACTGAGTTCTGAGTATTTTCTAAATATCTGTATCAAAAGTTCACTAAGAATGATGGGATCTTTCTGATACTTGAAGGAAAAAAATCAGTTGAGGAAGAACCAAAAAAACTTGTGGTTGAGCAAAAAAGCATCAAATCTGCAAGTACGGCCAAGAGCAGTACCACTGGTACTAAAACTGCGACGTCAGTTAAATCGGAGGAAATGGGTGAGAAATCAACACCAGGCAGGTCACATGACTACACAATTTGAGTGTGAGAGCAGGAATGGTTGTACACAGGAATTCTCAGTCACTGAAACAGCAAGACACTTAGCTTTTGAACAGTTAGGGACTTGTCACATGCATCTAGTTTTAAAAAGTTTAGAATAAGGAAGAATTTTAAGTTTTTGAAGAAAATTCACACATACACAATTTGATTCACTTTTTGGAGTTTGGACAGGTTTTTTTCCCATTCAAACACTCTTTGCAGCTTTAATCACTAATAATAGTTTTGCTTTCAGGTTCAGTGCCTACAACAATAGAAATAATTTTAATGCTTATTTGAATTTTGTAAATTCTCTTTTAGCTCAAATCCAGCAGGATTTCCAGAATGAGATAAAAAATCTTATGGGCAAACAGCCAACCCAAAAAGATGTGAAGGGTAAATTGTTCCCTCTATAACTGAACCACCCCACAGTTTACTGGATGTAACACCCCACCAAGTGACTCTCTAACAAACTGATTTAACAAACTCAGTTCTCTGCTAATACTTTGTTTCTCTTTGTATTTTTTGCAGGTGTCACTCAGCAACATTTCCCAATTAAATTCTTCAGTCAAAAGATGACGTAAAACAAAAGGCTATTTTTTGTGTGTTAACTTTTGCTAAGATGCCTGTTTTGTTGAGAGGCTAGTTAATTCATAGATCAGTGTGGTAATTAGCCAGATCTTTTTATGTTACAGGGAGAGTTGAATACAAAGATGAATTAAAACATCTGTATAATAATCAGGCTAGAAAGCCTGAAAAACCCAAGGGTGAGACTCAGCTCAGAGCGTCCATATTTTAATTTTGCATTTAGAGATTTTTGAATTTTTAGATACTACATGTATTGCTTTATACTCTATATACCAGTATACATTTTTTTTTTACTACCTATATTTTAGGGATGGCAATCCTTGTACATGTAAGGGGTGATACTTGAAAACTGTTTTACAGAGCATATTTAATATACAATGTACAGATATAAGCCATTAAATGAAGTCAATTCATAGATACCTCAACTTCAATAAAAAGCATATGTTAAAAGCATAGAGTGTGATGTGAATTTACGTTTATGTGAAGTCAATGTAAATGTATTCATTGATTGATAAATTAAAGGGCTACATGTGTTATATCATTTTTTTTTTTAAAAGACACACAAAAAAATTCTCAGACCATAGAAGTTGGCCATAATCAACATAGACCATACAAGAAATAAGTTCAGTTTGACCAATAAGTTGGTTCTAAACCAGGAGAAAATTGCCATTCCTACTAAATTTTTTTACTCAGCCTCTTGTATATATACTTTACTGCAAAAAATGAATTTGATTTCTTTTACTTTATTGAAATAATATATAGCCCTCTGACTTTGTATATTTATACACAACAGAATATTCCTTAAGCACTGTGTTTTGATCTTTTTCCACCCTTTGTTTCAATTAATAATACATGTATTTATTTAATAACTTCTTTTCTTTGGTCCTGTTGTTTGAATTTACTTTTACCCTTTCTTTTGTATCAGATGACATCTTATAAATTAATGACCTTTATATGTACTCCAGTGCATTCTCTTATTTTCAACTCTTTCCTGTCTGTTCTGCTTACATGTGTTACCATTTTGTTTTACAGAAAATTGTTCTTTATTATTTATTGCATATATGCATTTTTTGCATCTTTCTCTGCAAATTATCTTAAATAATTGTCCTTTTGAAATATACTATGAATGATTTTATTTTTTACCTAAAAATTGCAAATGTTACATGCACTTAAATTTTTCCATTAAAAAATGTTTCTTAAATATTCTTTAATAAAAACAGTTGTAACTCTAACATTTCATTCAGTAAGCTTGAAATAAGCCACAAATTGTTAATAACTGACTATTTATCAACTTTTAAAGGTGGCAAGACCAAAAAAAAGGTTCCTTCCCCAACAAAAAAGCCTGCAGTCAGCAAGGAGGCTAAACCGAAGGCCAAAGGTAAAGCCAAGGCCAAAAAGAAGGAGGAATCGCCCGAACCAAAACCAGCCGAGCCAGAACCAGTGCAACCAGAACCTGAACCTAAACCACCCACACCGAAACCTCCCACACCACCCCCACCAAAGGAGGAGCCACCCTCAGATCCGGAGACTGACAGAGTAAGAGTCAGATACAGTGTAACTGGTTTACAGTAAATACTGGTATAACAGATACCTTAATAAATAAGAAAATTGTCATGTTTCCGTATTAACTTCCTTAGGAACTACAAAACAGAGTTCTATTGATAAAGTAACTTTTGCCATATTCCAGAAGTTCAGAATGTCCTTAGCTTTGTTTGATATAATTTAAAAATGTGCTTGAGAAATTTAAAGTAAAATGTAAAGATCCATTACAGTGGTGGGTATATTGTTTTGCAGAGAAAATCTATTGCTTCCAGCATAAATGTTAACCTTAAGAAAGTCAAATCAAAGGTATAAAGAGTGATACATCACAGGTCACTTGTTGACTAATGAACCTATTCTTTTTCAGTGACATCTATGTTTCACTGTAATCATTTTGCAGTGCCCTTTTTTATAGAGATGACATTAAGACATTCATATTAATGTACCACTTTCTTTTCATACAATTTCATGGTCACGTTCAGTTCACTGGAAAGACCACAAAAATGTCAAAGATTTCTTTAAGTCTAATATACATAGATCATTTTGAATTAATGATGTCATAAACTTCACTATTCATTAAAAGTGAGATTTTCTCACTTTTTCACAACTAATAGATTAAAACTATGCTTGTGTTTACACAGACTATTTTTTTTTCTAAAAGCGATACAAATGCAAAATGGGGAAAACATTGGTTTATTTAATAACAAGCAAGACTTCTTCCAAGAGTTTCCTACAAAATCAATAAAAGAAAGAAAAAAATGATGATTTTAATCATACCTTGTAGGAGTCTGTGTCAGACTTGAAGAGTGAGGAAAGCTTTGAGTTCCACATTGTCAGGGATTCCCCCTCACCCAGTCCACCCCCTCCCAAGGCCCCCTCAATCCCGTCTGTGGAGGAGGAGCCAGAAACAGAGGAAGAGGAACCCATAGAGGATGAGGATGTAAGTTATCTTCCCTTGTACATGTACATAGTCACCTTAAATGTTGTCAGTTTTGGAAATTTAATATTGGTGATGGGTAGATTTTGGTGAATTGGTAATGGATGATTTTATTTTAGACAATCTTAGAAAAATAGAATACATAAAAATCTTGGTAATTCTACAATATTTAGTAGATGAATTCCATATGAATTATGTATCAATGTCATATTCAATGACAATGAGCAAGTGAAGTTCTTTGTTTGAATCAGATTTTACATTTGTCAGAAAAGGATAAATTTAGTAAATTATCTTTTCACATATTATGAGGTGCAAATATAAGGTTTATTTTTCATTTGAACTTGAAGGCATCTAAACAGGTAACGAATGCTTGATAACTCTGTCACAACAATGTCAATATCTGCACCCTTCATGTCTTCTTAACTAGTCTTCAATTATAGGAGATTCCCAATCAAAAACAGAACTCATTAACAGTGAAACAATCATAATAAACACATTTCATGATATATATATTTTTCATGATTAATAATCATTAAAATTTTAATGTAATATTCTCATAAAAGGTACCTGAAACTGAGTTAACACCGATTTTTTTTTTTTTTCAACAAATCTATTTATCTTGCAGTCAGCCTCTATATTTTGGCTTTTCCTGCAATAAACTACTGAATAACTATTACCTACAGTAAAATCCTTAACAGTGTGAATTTGGTTTGCTATAAAAGTGTTACTTATTTAAACAAATAATGATATTCCTATTCCTAAATTTTAGCATTATTATTTGTCAAAATATTCCAGGCATAACCATGCTAAATTAGATCCAGCATTCATTTAGATACCTCCAAATTAATAGATTCCTTTCTTATCTGAGGAAAAATACTGTATTGGTTTACAGCTCAATCAAGAATTAAAATTAACAATTATGACTGATCAATAATGAAGACAAGTAATCAAAACCAGATTCTTTGCCTACTTGTTGCTTTATTTTGCACATTCTCCTTACCAATAAATTCTCATCTTAACTTCTATCCTTTGAAAATTTACTTTGAGAAGATGAAAATGTACACTTTTACAATTAGTTAATTAATTTATCATGTATAAATCTGTGTTCTATTCAATTTTCTGAACATGTATGACTGATTGATTGTTCCTTTGTATGTTTGGATTTTTTGGAATGATGTTTGTGTATTTATATCCATTTGTTTGGTTGATATCCATTACATGTTTAATATTCTCTTTTTTTCCTCTAATTCCCACCTTAAAGAAATTGGTGAAGAAGGTAAACTTAACTATTGTAACTGCACGTGATCTTAACATTGGTGGTAGTCAAAGAGCAGATCTGTTCACATATTATTTCAAAAGCATAAATAAATGTATGGGAACGTGTATTGAATAATTTCTATAAGTGATGAATTATCAATTCTTTTTCTTATTATTGATAAAATCGAGATTTTTTTTCTAAATGTTACTTTTGAAAATGAAAAACTGCAGTAGATATATACTAGCTGGTAATTGAATTTTTTGTGCTTAAAGCAAATTGTCAAGAAGACAAAGGTATTTTTGTTTAATTTGCATAGAAATTGCTTTTTTATCTTTTTAATTTTTATTAATTTTATTCTATATCATATTTTAAAAAGAAGTTTTAGCATGAAACGTGCATCTCAGTTATATCCCTTACTGCCCTACTACCACCAAATATCACCACGGTGTGAATTCTATGTCAACCAGGGTCATTTAATTGCATGTCATGTGACCAGTGAAAAAGCATGTCATGTGATCAGTAAAAAGTGTTATCATGTGATTTGTTTAAGTTAAAATCAAATGCATGTCAATGGACTTAGTTACTTTTCAAACCAACTAAAAGCATGTCATATGACAATAGTATATGTAGGATGGATCAAAGTGTATGCAATATGTCTTGACTTTAATGTATGTTTGCTATGCATGTCGTGTCAATTTTAAGTATGTACTATGATCAACATTAACACCAAGACTGACAAACTGCATGAAAGATATCTATATATCTAAAAATTATAACAAATTAAGGAAATCATTTAGTTATTTTAAGTGATCAAATGTGCTAAAAGAAAAAATATTTCTTATGACAAAGATAAAATTTTTATGAATGTAGGAAAATACAAATAAATCTCTTGTCACTTACTTAAGTTTTTGTATTGCACACTTTATCTAAAAAGATCATTAATCACACTAGGTGACAATTTTTTAAATATGTCCTGCACAGAAATTGTACAAACTCTCTGTACAAATGCACATATTTCAGTTGCTACAACCTAGCATTCTGCAATTCTTCTAGCTTGTAAATGTTATGAAAGATCTGTGTAATAACGAATTTTAATTTGAATGTTAAATTGTATATTCTCAATAAAATATGTTTAAACTAAATTGTATGTTCAGAATCTTAAGGTGTCTCTATTTTTGCTTGTGCTTTAAAAATCAATGTTTTGAAGAAAAAAAATGTTTTGTGATGTAAGTTTTGCATTAGATATTATTTTTTGATGGTAATTTTTAATATCAGGGAGGACCTAAGGTAATATATTGTGATCATAGATTTGAAAAAGTGATTTTCTAACTAAAACTATTTCACAATCACAATTGCAAATAAATAATCCAGGTAAATATGCTTTCAAAAAAATTATTGGGAGGGGGGGGGATTTGTCTTGTGGATATATACCGTAAGACTCCATGGAATTAATCCCCCCTCCTCTCCTCCTGAACTTATTTCTGGGAATCAAAACATAAAATGCACACAAATATCAAAAAGAAAGATTTCCAGAAGTTATTTTTCTTTGTATATCATAATTTCAAAAGAGAGAAATTAATCCTTAAGCATGAAAGCCCCCTCCAAAACACACACACAAACACGCATGTCACATGCAACCTTGAAGAACAAACATGTTCAGAGGTGAGGTAATAAACAAGACACAGTGTGTTTTGTCATCACTTTGATACATGATTTAACAGCAGTTAGAAATGTGCCAGTAAATCATTAACTGAAATTGGTGACTTTTGAATTATTGATCAGAATACCATTTGGTTTTTTTTTTTTTAATGAATAAAATCAACTTTAAAAAGACATATTGGAACATCTATATGCTTAATATGTTTACTGCATTTTTTAATTGAAGCATGGCTTGGAATACTTTGTCTAAAATTGCATCTCCATTTCCATTCACTTAGGACGAAGCGGCCAGATTGCGCATGATTTCCAACAGAGAGGCCAGGGCCGCCAAGCGGGCTGCTCAGGCGGAAAAACGACGACAGGAAGTAGAAAAACGCAGACGTGAAAGGGAGGATCAGCTGAGGAGAGAAAAGGAAGAATTCGAGAGACAACAGCAGCTTAAAGCCGAGCTAGAGGAGGAACGCAAGAGACAGGAGGAGCAACGAAGGTCAGCCATTTATAATTTGTGTTATACAACACTGTACATGTACTTTGAAAATTTGTTTGGTTGCCCTCTCCTGACTAATGGCTAAATATTATGGCCCAACTCACAAAAAAAACTTTTATAAACATCCAGAAAACAATTATCTTTTTATGCATTCCAGAAAATAGATTTTCAAAATTCAGCAACAATTTTCTCTGAAAAAAATCCCATCTACCTACCTATCCAAATTTTTCATCCTGAATTGTGAGAGGGCAAACAAATATTATTTAAAGTTGGCCTTATACATTTTGAATTTTTCATATGAAATTCTCAAAGGTGTGTCTTGGGAATTGAAAATTTGAAGTTATCTCTCTTTGGTTGTAATGTTTTCCAGACTTAAACGTGAGCAGGCAGATGCCGAGAGAGATGATGAAGAGAGAAAAGAAGAAGAGAGATTAAGGAGGCAGAAACTTGAGGAGGAGAAGGAAAGAAGAAGAAAGGAAGAATACCAGAGGAAACTAGAGGAAATGAAGAGGAGACAGGCAGAGGAGGAAAAGAGGCGTCATGGTTAGTAGAGTGGACAGAATCAGGATAAGTCAAGCAAATTAGATACTTTGAATAACCTTTAACTTGAATTAGGACATACAAATTGGAGTGCAACAAATTCTGAGAAGGTTACAGATGAATACATTGTACCTTGAGTATTTTAAAGATATTTTAGTGATTAGAGAGGTTTTGACACAAATGTTTGTAAATTACAGAGTCATCATTGTTAGTAAAAATTCACTGAAATTAAATGAAATTCTGTTTTTTGATTTAATGCACAATAATTTAACAGCCCAAGGCCTTCACTGTTTCCAAGTGAATGCATCTAATCTGTGCAATCAAAACTCCAATGAAATATGTAAGATAGAGAATTATGATTTTGATTAGTTATATAGAGCCTTCATATTTCATAATTTTTAAATTGCTTTGGTTTGTTCAGAGGAGATGTTGAGGTGA